TGTTTGCTCGACTCCATTGCCCTGTTCTAGTTGTGTTGAGGCAAAGGCCAAAAGTATATCATTTCCCTCCAGTAGCACAGTCATCACTGAACCATTTCATTTGGTCCACACTGATTTATGGGGCCCTTCTCCCATAACGTCACGCAATGGCTACAAGTATTTTGCTCTTTTTATTGACCATGCTACACGTTACACGTGGGTCTATTTTCTCCGTCTCAAGTCTGACTTATATGAGGTAGCTACTGAGTTTTTGACCATGATTAGAACTCAATTTGGCAAAAATGTGAAGATCCTTAGATCCGATCCCGGCGGAGAGTTTAGCTCAACCCCGTTGCTTGCATACTACAAGGCGCATGGCATTCTGTGTCAAAAGTCATGCCCTGGAGTGTCGCAACAGAAAGGCGTAGTGGAGAGGAAAAATCGCCATTCCGTTGAGTTGACTCGTGCTCTCCTTATTGCCTCCTTATTGCCTCATCAGTCCTTACTTGGTTTTGGCCCGAGGCAGTCTCTACTGCCATTCATTTGATAAATTACCAAGTAACTCCTGTTTTAAACAACCAGAGTCCGCATTTTGCTCTTTACGGCACCCATCCTGACTACTCTCGTCTCCGGGTGTTCGGGTGCTTGTGTTTTGTTCTTCTTCCTCGTCGCGAGCGTCATAAACTCTCTTCTAAAACTGTCAGTTGTGCTTTCCTTGGTTACAGTGACATTCACAAGAGTTATTTGTGTTATGACCCCTCTCTAGGTCGCATTCGTATAGCGTGTCATGTCGTCTTCTTCGAAAATGTCATGTTTATGAGTCATCCTCTTCCGAGTCAGTTTCCTTACTGTTTTCCTCGACTTAGTTGCCCTCTTTTGGTGATGGCATTGATGATGATGGTGCTGAACTCCCTCCCGAAATGCCTCCCCACACACCAACCTCGAGCATGTCGCTGGATTCAGTGCCGCACTCGCCAACCAGCTCCAGCGACTCATCATCCTCACTGCCCACTGCTTCCTCCCCAGTGCCGACCAGCTCTTCCTCAGCGAGCAGGTCTGCCTCTTCTTCAGCGCCGACTCCACCGCCTCAGCCTGCTGCTACTCGCCATTCCCTCCGAGCGAATTTTGGCCAGCCGCCTGTTCGCTTTGGGGATTTTGTGGCCCATGCTGTAGATTCCATTCCCATCCCAACGCGGTATTCTCAAGCCAAGGGTATTCCGGACTGGGACAATGCCATGACATAGGAGTTTAATGCCCTCGATGTAAATAATACTTGGACGATTGTCGATCCTCCCCCGCCAGAAGTTCCAGTTGTCGGCTGTAGGTGGTTATCTAATCTAAAATTCCACCCGGATGGCAGTCTTGAGCGCCACAAGGCTCGGGTTGTGGCACAGGGATTCACAAAGGAGTATGGGATCGATTTCGATGAGACATTTGCACCGGTGGCCAAGATGCAGACAGTCCGAACCTTACTGGCGGTTGTTGCCCTACGCAATTGGCCGTTGTATCAGCTCGACATTAAAAATGCATTCCTTAACGGTGACTTGAAAGAGGTCGTTTACATGGAAATTCCACCCGGTTACCCTCGCGGCTCCCCAGGACAGGTCTGTCTTCTTCATCGTTCCTTGTATGGCTTGAAGCAAGCTCCTCGCGCTTGGTTCGAGAAATTTCAGCATACCATTCTGAGTTTTGGGTTTCAGCAGAGTCAAAATGATCCGTCCTTATTCACTAAGTCCACTTCTCGTGGCCGGGTTGTCTTGCTGATATATGTTGATGACATGATTGTCACGGGTGATGATGATTTGGTATTGAGCAGCTTAAGGCTAATCTCCGGGCAGCGTTCAGTCTTAAAGATCTCGGGTCCCTTTCATACTTTCTCGGCATTGAAGTTCACAGGTCTGACCGCGGCATTCTACTTAGCCAACACAAGTATGTTAATGATTTATTGGAGGAACATCGATTTGGCGATTGTCTGCCGGTCCGTACCCCAATTGAGCTTAATCTTAAGCTGGGGCAAGATTCCGGTGAGCTCCTAGCCGATATTCGGGTATACCGAAGTATTGTAGGCAATCTCATCTACCTTGTCGCTACACGACCGGATATAGCTTATGCGGTGCAGCTGGTTAGTTAGTTCATGGCTGCTCCTCGTGTTGATCATATGGCTGCTGTTCATCGGATTCTCTGATATCTCCAGGGGACGCGTGATGTTGGTTTGTTGCTTCCATCCTCTGGTGATTTATGCTTACGTGCTTACTCTGACTCGGATTATGCAGGCTGTATAGATACCCGACGATCTACGACAGGCTGGTGTATTCAGTTAGGTGATGCCTTTATTTCTTGGAAATGTAAGAAGCAAGACAAGGTCTCCAAATCGTCCACGGAGGCTGAATATCGTGCGATGTCTGATGCTGGTTCTGAGATGGAGTGGTTACATCGTCTGCTGGGTGATCTTGGTGTTAGCATACCATCTCCTATGGTCTTGCACGTGGATAACACCAGTGCCATTCAGATTGCTGTTAATCCCGTTCTTCATAATCGTACAAAGCATATTGAGGTCCACATTCACTATATTCGTGATCTCGTTCGTGCGGGTACGATACAACTACGCTATATTCCTACGGAAGATCAGGTGGCGGATTTGCTCACCAAGTCCTTTACCACGAGTCGTCACTGGTTTCTAGCTAGCAAATTGATGCTTCGGGATCAGTATCAATTTGGGGGAGGCTGTTAGAGTGTATATTGGCCCACGCTATTGGCCCATGCTCATGCAAAACCTAAATTAATCATTGGGCCTTTATTGTGTGGGGCACGTAGGAGTTAGGCTGCCGAATAGGGTTTCCTCCTAAGCTTGGCAGTATATATTGTAGTTTTGTATCTCTTGGGATACCACGTAAATCTGTGTCTCATCGTATTTCGTTTCACTTTCGATATGTCTAACAGTTGGGTCTTCATTTTCGAGTCATCTATACTTTTCTAATTGAAAGCTTAAAAATCATCTATACTCCATTGCATAGTAGTTACTAAGAGATACGTTTAAACCAATAAAGAGCTTTTAAGTTTTATCAGTTGTTAGTTTTAATATTAACTTTCATTGGTTGTTTATGTAGTTTATTTTTTTTTTAACATTTCATCATTATACAACTAACTACTATTGCTACATTAGTTGTATAAGTGGGGTTTGAGCTTGATAGTTCTTAGAAGCATCAATACTTAAGGCTATCATAATGATCAAATCTTAAAGTTATGATTTGCCTTCAACTTGCTTGGAGCATTTCAGATATGCTTCAATTTTTCTCTCTGTGTAGTAGACTTTCAGACAAATAAAATGTAACATCCTAACCCGGCCGGGTAATACTTTTACTAAAATGACCTTGATAATAAAATGTTCAAATCTTAAATGGCAGCGGGAAAAATTTTCATAAATAAAATACTGAAAACACACACTTGTAGTTCAGAGCAAAGCCCTAACACGTGGGCAACTTAACTCAAACTTTAAAAAAAAAAACTCAACTTGATCTCCAGTCTATACTCATAATCATAAGACATAATAACTAATTAGTCTCAAGTGTTGCTGCTTGTGTGAAACTCTGACTAGACATCCTTTGTGACGCTTGTACCGTCCTCCTGTAGCTAGCTTCACTCGAACTGTTTCTCTCGATCTCGCTGCTCTCTGACTGCTCCTCTAGCTGCAACTATCGATCTAGTTCTCGCTTATTCCTTTACTAAGTCCTGGTGAGTGAGATGGGGTCAGTCTACGCCCTTACGTTTTTAATACTTCTAATACTTGAGTACTTTACTTAGACACTTAACTTTGACTAGTGGAAGTTATTTGTACTTCCAGTCTTAAAATCTTAACTCTTAAACTTTGAGGGAGTTGAAGTTACTCTCCTCTCTTAAAGCTCAATACTTAACTTAAATACTTGACTGAAACGGGGATCCCTCACTAGCTAGTCCGGTTGCCAACTCATACGTATGAGAAGCCATCCAGGCTTTCCTTAAACTTAAACTTAGTTAGGGAAGTCGTAACGATTCATCCCCCTAACATCTTAAACTTATCGTGGTGGCTCTTCACCACGATTCTCAAGAGCCACCACGATTCTCAAGAGCATAACTGCTGCTCATCTTAAAAGTCTCCAGAGCATAACTGCTGCTCTATCTCAAAGATCTCAAGAGCATAACTGCTGCTCTATCTGAAAATCTCAAATGGCAACGGACTGGCGCTAGTGACTAAAAACACTTAAAACGACTTCACCTTCTTGAAGGTGAGTTACTTCTTAAAAAGAACTTGTTCTTAACTTTAACAATAACTAATAAACGTAAAGCCTTAAAGCAAACAACACACCTTCTCTATAAACCACAGCTCAAACAAGCACATATCATCAATCATGAGAATAAACAAGCATAGCAACACTTCACAAAAATAATGAAAACTCTAATACTTAAAAAAAATACGTAAGGCGTAGAATTTACCCTCTTTACACTCATCTAAATCAATTAACCTCAATCGTCATTAATGTGGATTGCTGTTGATGCCAAGCTTCCATGCGTGCGTTGCTAATCCCAATCGCAAGTGGACAATGGACTTGGTCCATTTAATTCCTTCCTTTAGCAGCTGCCATCTTCCAATCATCACCGCCAGTCGATAATCTCTCCATGTCCTCTAATTCGACTTTATTTCCTCTTATCATCAATTGCCATGCACCGACGCAACCCAGCCTCCCAACCGGATTATGCCGACCATCTCAATTTCTTCGAGCCATGACAATTGTCCCCATCCTCTGCTCGGATGTCATCATTGATCCAACCCCATCTTGTCCCCTCGCGTTTATGCAAATGAAGACTATCCCTCTTGTCCTGCTCTTTGCTTTGCTGCCTCCCACCAGTCTCTATTTCCATCTCTCTTGTCCTCTTCCAATTATATATAGTTTGACCGTGGCCCTACCACTCCAACATGGAACCATTATCCCAGCAATTCCCACCTTCCAAACCCAACTCCCAGCACATTCTTTATTCCATATAATTCGATTCCCTATAGCCGCTCCCTCCTAGTTGCTGTTCTTGTTGTTGGTGCCGCAGCATCTCCGCTTCTTCTCCATATAATTCCATTTCCTCGTCGTCTTCATCGCTGTACACAGACAGCAAGGCAATCCCCTCGGCCTCTTTCTTCCGCGACGCCATGGATGGATGGACGGAAGCTCTCTAGGTTTAGGGTTTCTCTTCAATCTGAATCGAAATTCTTCCGATGAAGTAATAATAAATTGGTTGAAATACCAAAGTAATTCTCCACTTGAGCTTGCTCTCGCAGGAACGGAAAGGCGCGATGCGATGTAGCTGGACGCTTCTCCTCCTGGTCCATTTACTTGGTGGCGGGCCCTTTGATTGGTGGCGGTGTGATTTGTGGCGATCAACTCCGCTCAAGATGCTCGGGAAGGGGTTTCGGGGTTTTTTTTTTATTGGGGTTTTCTGCGTGGGCGGGGTGATGGGAAAAAGGCAATGAGGGCCGAGCGCCCAGCTTTTTTTTTTTTTAATAATAATAATAATAATTATTATTATTATTATTCCTAATCCGCGGTTGCAATCCTTAGTACGTAACCGTTAATCCAACCGTTCACGTATTATGGTCGAACCTGAACCCAAAAGTCTGTAACATAAAAAATCTTTGTGATTTCTGCTTGATTTTAGTTGCATTTAAGGGTTCTACCGCATTCTTCAAAGCCTTCAATTCAGTTGTTGGCTCCAAGGTCATCAGGGTTTCACCCTATGGCTGCTCGTACATAATTTGGTTATAGTAACTCCCCATGAGTTCAATATTATCATTCTTTCCACGATTAACTATTTTTTGCTTAGAAATAGTATGAACATTATATCCTCTGATACAATGTAGTTTACTCGTATGAAGCTACTCCTCTTCGAATGACAAAAATATGCATAGGCAGGTATTTGAAGAAAATCCCCTTCCTCGAGCTGATCCCTTTCGTTCCTCGGCAAGTGGTTTTCTTATTTTTTAGTGGTCCTTCCTGAATGTATATGCTAATGTTGTTATTCTTATCTGAAAACTTTTTGGGGTTCGAGGAGAAAATTGGAATGACATCAACCTTTAACTTATATCATATCAATGCATAATTTTTTGCAGTTAATTTCTGGCTGCTTCAACTTTCAGCCTAAACAGACTTGCATCTACTTACATGGGTGTCTTTTGCATGATGTTAATTCCAAGAATGAGACATTTTCCAAATCTCTATTGGGTTTGAAAATCTTTTTTTCTATTGATTCCTACGGGGTGAGTTATGCATAGAGATCTTTAAGTCTGCATGAAACTTTTTCTTATCGGGTTGTGATATTTTCTTATTTTTCTGGTCAACTTAGATAGCTACATTCAGTGGAACTGATGTGGATATAGAGAACAATGAATTTAATTTGTGTTGTTATGAATATATCCTCTACGTAGTACTTATATGATTCCATTAAGAAATTATTAGATTAGAGAACAGAGAAGCGAAAGCTTAAGGCAGGTGATGAAGTTCTTTGGGTAAAATACCTCCGGTACCACTTAAGTTTGAGAATTGGGGTAGACATACCACTTAAGTTTGAATAGGGCATCGGGTACCATTAAAGTCGCCAAAATGTGCATCCGTCTACTTTTTCATCCAACCCAAACTTTTAATTACTTTTTGACACCCACAACTTTTAAAAACATCCAGAACTACATTTCAACAAGCTTTATCTAATATAATAATTAGAAAACCTTCCAAACATATTTTTTTATGGCACTAAAATGACTAATCAAAACCTTCTAACCATATTATTACTAAAATGACTAATCAAAATTTTTCAATAAAATAGATAAATTAGTAAAAACAGTAAACAAATATCAAGAAGAGTAATAAATATACTAGAATATAATAATAAATATTTAAAATCAATATAAGAATATCTATTTAAAGCCCCTAATTCAATTAGAAGCACCATTAGAAATAGTTAAAATCGAATCTAATCAATCATCAATACATCAAAATTAAAGAAGGATAATGGAACACAATCATAAAGAATTAAACATATTTCACTAATTGAAAAAATTTAGAACGAAAAGAGATGGAAAGTAACCAAATAATATATAAAATAGAAAACCTACAACATTCGGTAAAAAATATAGAAAAGAAAATGACTATAAAAGCTACAACATTGTTTATTTACAACATTCATGGAATAATTCAATTATTAGAACACATAATGATAATTGAAAATAATTATAATGATAATTTATTCTAAAATTGGCTGGATATCAAGTATTAAAAAGAGAATTCTAACTAAACAATAAAAAATGATGTTTTTCATAAGCCTAAATGATTTGCTTATAATAAAAAAGTAGAAGAACCAATTATGAAATTTAGAAAATGGAATGTTCCAAAAATATTCTGTCAACTTTAACAGAATGCACTTAGCAATAAACTTAAGTGATATCGAATGCACATATAATGGAGTTTAGTGGTACCATATGCCCTATTCAAACTTAAGTGGTATGTCTACCCCAATTCTCAAATTTAAGTGACACCCGATGTATTTTACCTGAAGTTCTTTATTTAATGTTATAATGATTAGAGTCCATTCTCTTTTTGACATTACAATTCTTTATTAACTATGACTAGGTTTATTTGAATGAAGACAAAGTCATGCAAATTTTTTATCATTCTCTTCCCAATTGATGACCACTCTTGAATCCCCACCTAGATCATCAATGCACAGAAGTACTGACAACATTGAATTTGATGTTGTTATTGCCAAAGATTGTATGCGTTTGACACATCTTCCAATCACTCCAAAAGAAAACAAGATGTCATAGCATCATTGCTCCACAATGTTTCTCAGTTTTATTGTCATTCCTTTTTTTTCTTGCGAATGCTCACTATGGTGGGAAGATAAACAAACCAGAAGAACATAGATTGCATGTTTTCTTCTTTTTAAGTGTGTTTCATGCCTATATATTTTGCAAACAGGCTACATTTGGATTCTCACCAACATTTTAGTCTTCATCTCAATTTGGATAATTAAATTTTTATTTCTTTTGACTTCTAAAGTTTAATCTTTCTTCTAGTTATTTTTTCCACGATAAGGGGTTTGCCTACTCCTGCTAATCTCTTATCCAATTCGAATTGAAGTGTTGTTCTCGCCTGTTTGGTAAATACAATGAAGACTTGCTAAATGTTCATTTTAATTAACTCGAAGTAGGTCTCATTTCTGCAATCTTCTTTGCTATTACACACCTAAACAAATCCACGTCACTTATTCCCTATTCTGTCACCAACTAATGACAAGTGACTAATGAGATGTCCCCCCCCCCTACCACCACCACAATATATATGAGCCAAGAGCATTATTACGTTCATACCAATAATCCAATATTTGGTTCTGCTACCTCCAACCAACGGGTCAGGTTATAAGCTAGTTTACTATCATGCATGAGTTATTTGATGTTTTTACTTATTTGCATTATGTTATGGTAGTTGTACTTCTTAAAATATTTGGTTGATGTAGTAGTATTTTGTTTATTTGTTTAAAACAATATTACTATTGAAAACATAAATCAGTTTGTAATAACTGTATCTAAACAAGTTTTCATTTTCAGGTTTCAGTATCAGAACTCTCTAAATTCTCAGCTAAACAAGTTTTCTTCAGATTTTCTTTCCCAGAAAATGATAGATTCATTTTCTTCACATTCCCCTTCCCGTTGTCCAGAAATAAAAAATCAGAATGAATGCTAAACGGGGCATTAGTGATACAATCATGATTTTTTTTCGTTGAATCGGTTGCTTTATTTCCAAGAAAGGCCAATATAACAAAGTGAGAATATAAAATATCCCCAAGTGTTTGTCCCTCTACCATCTCCTATATATCAACTACTTACAGAATCTGCAAAATCAAAACCTATAAGTAATGAAGTTTGGTAAGAACATCCCGCAATCCTCTATTTCCACATGCTAAGAACTGCAAATCCGCCCGGAGTTGATCAGCTACATTCTCTGGACTTTGTCTGGCCGGTCCATGTACCACTCTGCATCTCTCCTTCCAAATGAAGGCAACAATCAAACACCATACCAAAGCATGCCATCTCCCAACTTGCGCATCTCTGTATATTTCTGCACTTAAATCCTGTACCATTGCATCCCAACTCTGATAGTGTAGGAATCTGAATCGCAGCTGTGCAGAAAGCCTAAGAGAGAAGTTGCATCTGAGAAACAGATGGTCTCGATTCTCAACTCCCTCCCAACACAAAGGACAAGATGCATTAGTTATTTTACCCCACTTCAATAGCTTATCTCTGGTTACTATGGCATTCCTCATGATCAACCAAGCAAGTAGACTGTATCTCGGGGGGCAACAATTTTCCCAAACAAGCTTGTACCATGGGACTACATGTGATTTTCTTCTGAGTGTTTCCCATACCCTGCGAACAGAGTAGACTTGCATTTCCTGAGAATCCCAGTAAATGACATCCCCTTGTTGAGTGATCCATGGCAAAATGATGTCTCTTAGTTTAAGCAGCCTTCTCCAAGTCCAAGAGCTATTGTATTGCACCCTCAAACTCCAAAGATCCCCCTGTTTGCACTTATACTCATGCATCCATGCAACCCATAAAGTACCTGCTTTCATTAAGAATAACCACAGCATCCGAATAGTACATGCTTGGTTTCACGCCAGTAGATCTTTGACTCCTAGCCCACCCTTTTTCTTTGGTAAAGCCACATATTCCCATGCCACTTTGGCTTTCCCAGCATCAGCCCCATGCCAAAGGAACTAAGAGCATACCTGTTGTGTCCTTTTTCATACCTGTTGTGATCTTTTCCACTAAAATATCCACCTCCTTTGATGATAACTTTCCAGTCATCAATGGAAGCCCCAAATACCTAACAGGCAGCAGACCCTCTTTGAAACCAGACAGGGACAGAGCATTGTCTTTATATTTAATAGATTCACCCCCAAAATAGACTTCACACTTGAGCCCTGACAGCTTATAAAACTGCTGTAATACATCTTTTACCTGAAGGATTGCTTGAGTCGAGCCAGTGGTAAAAACAAGAACATCATCAGCAAAACACATGTGATTTAGACCAGTTCTTCGACACTGAGGATGGTAAGGGATCCTCCCTGATTGACTTGCAGCTATTAACATGGAAGAGAGGCCCTCCATGGCAATAGTGAATAAGTATGGTGATAATGGATCACTTGATGGACTCCCTTCCTAGCCCTAAAGAATCCACAGAGCCCTCCATTTATATTTATACTGTAATGAGCAGTTTGCAAGCGAGCCCTTATCCATTTCATAAACTGAGCAGTAAAACCCATGGCAATCATCATATGAAACAGGTAGCTCCAACTAACAGAGTTAAATGCTTTCATAATGTCTATTTTTATTGCACACCTAGAGGACAAAGCACTTCTGTTGTAACCACTAACCAACTCCTGAGCCATCAATATA